CCCTTGCCTTCTTCTGCCTATTAGTCGGGTCCGAATAAACTGGGCTATAACATTGTGAATTATGAAAAACATTTTACCTAATAGAAACGTGTCAAATTTTCGGACTTACATGCACAATAATGGCAGTGCGTATTCCATGCAAATGACAATTTTGGGCTAACACCGACAAGGGGGTTCCAAAATGCAACACACTTTCCCTTATGTATTTGCGAAATGCGTTTACCCTTTCTCATTTCCGTCTCTGATAGGTAAAACGGACAATTTAGAACCCTCTTAATTTGGTCGCGCTTAAGTTACGTTTGGGGTGTACTGCAACCCATTAGCTGGACATAGAACCCTTTGCGAATCTTTATTTTGCCTGTGCATATAATTCAGTACTGTTTGTTTTAAATTTTTTAATAAATTCAGCTGGTTGATGGAAAAGAGATTCTAATTCGACAATAATTGTTGTAAAAGCGAATTTTCATAGATTGACATTCCTTTAAAAATATTTCTTTTCCTTTCTTTTTAAGCATGATAATTATTGCCCTCGAGAACTGTCCGCATCTTAATTTGAATATTTTTTCCACTTGACAATTTACTAAGAAGTTAAAAGATAACCGTAGGTCCGCGTTTTGTGTCATTTAGGACAATGCCATGAAATTTTAACCGGAAGTGAAAAATGTGCTTTTGGTTAGAATGGATAACTTAGACGGAGTTCTTTTATAGATTACAAATCGGCATAATCCCAAGGTAATTCAATTAGCTCTCATATGCACATCATTCCGACAGAAGGGAATTTCTTAAAAATGACTACTTCATTGTCCTACAGTTTTCACTAATTTCGACGGATTTGACTATACTCAAAGAATTTGAAGCTAATATCCACACAAATATACCCAAGTTTACTTATTTTTTATAAAACTCCCTCTTCCAATTGTATATTTAAAAATAATATCTTACGTTTTAGTAGGCTTCCTTAGTCGTGGGATAACTTGGAAACCGACCTTTCCTTGTACTTACTTTTAATGTTTAGTGTTTAACGATGGATATGGAGCTTATTGTGTTCGTCATGGAAAGAATAAGTGAAAAGGCAGATATAAAATTACTAAAATCAATCTGGAATTATTTTTTCCCTTCATTTTCTGTACCCTACTCATGTTCCCAGAAAATCTCTTTACCCTTAGCTATGCCCTCTTTTCGCTCATTCTCCGATACGATCAGCATTCAATTAAGGTTATGTTTAGAATTAGAGGTTTACAAATGGGTTTAAATATTAGGCTTAGGACCACATTTTACGCTTAAGGTTAGGGGGCTAGACCTAGGGTTAGGTTATTAAAGTTCCTAGATTCAACTATCCCTCTTGAAGCGTAGGGTCAGATTAAACGGTATGTCTTTCGCACTTTCTCTTCTAATGTGATTAGTCATCACGGGCTGGGATCAATTCGCATACAATGTCTAAATACTGTCCTCAATTTTCATTTTTACTTCCAGTATTCTAAACTGCGAGCTCGCATTTTTACGTCAAATTAGTATGCTTCAACAAGCGTCCCGAAACTAGCTACCTGGCATTCTGCTTAACCTTATCCAATAAAACTCATATTACTATACTATAGGAATTTTAGACTTTCGTTGGCAGGATTGATTTAGAGGCCCCAAAAATCCCGTCGACTTACAATAAAAAACTACTTTTAAATGTTCGTAGCCTGACATTAAATTGTTTGTTAAATTCAACCAATAGGAGGACGAATTTCCATTTTCTTAAATTCCGCCTACATAAGATCGCGTTCCCTAGATTAGCATTCGTATCCTGCGCAACAGAAGTTTGTGCTGATCGAATTTTATTCTACTTTAGCATAGTAAGACAAATATAACCTTATTTAATTTAATATTTTTGGTCACTTCCGCCACAATTTCATATTAATTGAGGCTCACTAGCCAAAAATTAAATGTTTGACCACAAAATACGTTAAGGAGTTGGGCGAAGGGAATGGATATCTAGAGGAGCCCTACAAATCAATTTTTGCCTTTCGCTTTCCCAGTAGGGCCATAAACAGGATCGTCGCCGATAAAATATTCATTCACTTTCAAATTTCCTCGTGACTAGCAGCAGTTCGTAGCAGTAAGCTTTGCTGACTATGCCCTAGCATTCGTTCGGTGGTTTTGTAAATTTATTTAACGTTCATTGCTGCTTCGCCCTAAAATTCACCTTACTGTCTGTCTAGAAACAATCCAATGGAGTACAACCCTCAAATCCCTTCCGAGAGAAAATCCCCGATTTGGATTTAGGAACTTCGAAAACTAACCAGCAAAGTTAAACATAAGCAGCAGCAGTATCAACAGGGGGAATGCAGGCACCACTTACCGCAAATTTAGGTATTCTAGCGACGCGAAGCACACAGCCGTAAAGCCGTGACAGTTTTTAATGCCATTCTTTCGCGAATGCAGCACCACCAGACCCGGCACAAGACCCATTCGGGAACCCAGAGGATTCAGCCTCAAAATATTTTCATTTGGTTCCTCCGGTGGGTGATAAACAGTGGCCAGGGAAGACAACGAGTTCTCCGCCATTACCAGCATCTTGAGGCCGGAGTGTGAGAAGCCGATGCGCCGCAGGTAGACGCTCACATCGGGTTCCGGTTCAGCAAAGTTCGGTAGGGAGGTTGTAAGGCGATTTCCACGAAGCTCTATTGTGTGCAAACGCGGAAGGGCATCTTCTTCTAAGAGGTAGGCTCCGTCTTCGTCCACAAGGGAGGATATTAGGTTGTCTGTATTGAAAAAAAACATGTTACTGTAAACCATTGCTCTAAATATTACTCCCCATAGTTGACTTATAATGCTTATAGCATTTGTGGCGGACGGCCACAATGCCTGTTTCCCCTTCGTTCTCCAAGGCCCGCTGCGCTAAACTCATGCGTTGTCACAAACAACTATTCCAGAGCTTTCTTTCACTGGCACCCCCGCCCCTCGAGGTTTGACACTTCGCAGCTGCTCCTGGCTAACCGATAACAGCTGCTCCAGCGCCCCCTGTCCTTCGGCGTTCCGGCGACCCCCCGCAGTTGACCTCAGCTTATTCAGTCACGCACACACTTGCGCACACGCCCGCATATACACGTTCGTCCAAATAAGCACGTCTGCCTAAGGGCCACTTACCACACCACTTCTTTGGCCAACGCAGCAGGGGGCCTTCGCAGGCGACATCCCCTCGGGCAATTTGAACACACCAATAACAGAACACTTGAACCTTCTACGCAATCCTACTTAAGCAGCTGCCACCACTGTTTCATCCTTTCTCAGGTCTAACTGGACGCAGTCAACACCAGCCCTGGCTTCGCCAGTGGCCACTGCCACCTGAGACAGTAATTTTTTACCATTCACAAAAAGTGAAAATGATTAAGAGCAATCTACAAAATAAGTCTATATTATAAACCTTTAATATCATAAATTAAAAACTATAATAATTAACTAGAACTTATAAACTCATATACCATTTCGTGGTTGAGAGCTCAATTAAAAAGGGTTCACTAGTAATTCCGTCAGTTCTTATCATCTTGCATGTTGAATCCGTTACAAACTTTATAATATTGGATTTTTTCTGTCCTTTTTTCTCAAAAGGCTGATCGATTTTATTTTATGCTCCAGGTATTATAACGCGTTGGCCTTGGCAGAAGCAGTGAGGACTTGCTATAACCATATGATCTACTCTCTGAGATCCATATTTTACATATTTTGATTAAAATTACCCATCCGACCTAATGTGCTGTTCAGAAATGATCACTTCTATCCTCTTGGCTTACTAATCAAGCAGTTAGCCTTACTGAAGCCTTGTACTTTCTCTTGCGAGTTAAAATTCTGCTGGGTCCATGAATTTGGACTCGGAATCCGAGTTACTATAAGCCTTTTTCGAAAGCAATTTCATGAGTCTAAAAGAGTGAGTCCAATTACGCGTGATCTAGCGTTGTGTCATCTCTGACTGTTGAACAGTAGAAAGTTGACCGTATGACAACAAATCGTTCTCAGCAGCTCTTTGGAGCCCGTTTGTAGACAAAGTTCCAGGTAGACCTTTCAAAATGTCCGAATACACTATTACGATTCATGCCGCGTCGTTTGCTGGAACCGTAACGTTTCTTGATCCCGACCCAGTGCTTCGGGTGCCTAATACGCAGGTCGCAGTACTGATTTGAGAACTGCCTGCCGTTTGGATGCTGAAATCTGCGAACGTTCTTGAGCTCTAGTACGCAATAATAATAATAATACAATTTCAAGAATCAAGTCGTGCCTAACTCTGTACTCCAGTGGCGCACGCGACTTCTCTGGTACACCCAATGTAACAAGCAAACAGTGCACTACTTGCTTTGCGGCCAGCCAATGACCGAATTTATCCAGTCAGCCCTTCTGCACTATTGTAAATGCCGAGCTATGCGCGTGGACGATGTGTGAAAACTGAGTGTTTTACCACCGCTATTTGAAGACTATCCTTTGATTGAATTAAATGAACAATATTTCAGATGAGATAGTCTGCATCCATTGTGATAATATCGCAAGGATTTCTTAGGCCATTTAAAAGAGATTAATGAGTTGGTTTGGATACTTTTGTCATCGGTTGCCTCACGAATTCAACGTTTCTGACCCAGATTCGGCATCGTTACTTTCTTGAAGGCGTCGAAGGGGTTATTTAAAAAAACTTTGTTTGACACATCTCATCCACAAATTAGGGTTGCCCTTTGGCCCTTGATATTTGGTCACCGTTGCCAGCGTAAAGATTGGGTTGGACTGACTGGAGCCGCTACTGCAGAGTGCCATCTAGAGAAATCACAGAAACTGGCTAGATCCGGCATGGCCACCGCTTTATGAGGTGCATAACCGAACCATATATAATCGCTGTCTTCGTTATAACAGTGTAATTTCTTTCTGAAGCAAACCCCATACAAAACACGTTAAAATCTTATCGGTATTCAGCTGTGCTCCAGCCGGGTCGTGCAACAAACTACGAAATGTACCATTGTATGTAGTACTTACATATGTTCTCGACTACTGCTTACTACTGTGTCTGACGTAGTCTTCATGTTCTGCCTAAGATTCCTTCTATCTGTGATAAATGTTTTTCTTCTAAATCCGAAAATAATTGATTGCACTCTTGCCTATTATTTTTATGCCATTCAACTAGCCCCATATCAAATGAGTATACCAAGTGTCTGTTGAGTGCTATGAAATAACTGTTGTAGCTTTCAGCCTTTGCAGGAGGTGTTAGAAATGGTCGAGTTCGTGTTAAAATATGGTAGTTTTGCATGTATATGAACCTGGGTATATTTCAGCGATAGCTTTTGTTCGGTTCACGGATAATCACAAATAACTGAATAGCTTAAAACTTTAAGTTTAACGTTAATCGATGTGGTTTATGATTGGGTTAATTTATTAGTACATTTTTCGGCTGGACAATAATATTAATAGTTGGATAAATAATCTTATGACTGAACGAAATTGCTTGTATCTACGACTTCAATTTCAATATATTCAAGACCAGAGGCCCAAGGCCCGGAGGAGTCTCTTCAGAGATAGTTCAAGACAGAAACATAAACTCAAACAGGACGGCGATCCTCGAAAGGAAGTGGGAACCGCTGACTG